ATCCCTTCAGAGGACCGGGCCCAGGGTGGGTTAGTGAGAGAGACACATCCCACATAGCTGACCTTTAACCTAGCATTGAGATGCTACAATCAAACAGCATCATGAGAGAAGTTACTCACTGAGAGGACTGATGTAAGAGTGAGTGCATGAGCACCCTTAATTGGGTTAGTCTTATGAACTGTTGTCATTCCCACCTCTCTCACAAGACAGCATGAATCCTGGAAGGGGTGCAGGGATGGTAAATCCTAACTTTAAAATTATGTCATGTTGTTAGGCCCCCAATGTCCTCTGGTCTCCAGTCTCTTCCATAAAATGCTTGTGCTAAACTAGATCCTCTCTAAGCCTCATGTCATTCCACAGACCAATAACTCATCAGTGATACTAAGTATGGATAGAAAGAATTGAGATAAATAAGACTAATCTTCACTTAAGGTTGAGAAATCATCAACAATAAATTTCATTCTATTTAAAATATTTTATCACTGTATTGTAAACAGCAGGGGCTCTGGATTTGGGCTAAGATCCCAGCTATGTGACCTAAAATTTCCGGAGCTCTCTAAGGCTCAGTTTCTGCTCCCACAGAAAAGGGGCTGTGATTACTGTGACGAGTAATAGAAATAGTGAATATCAGTGACTAGCATGGTACCAAGCTCAAGTCCTCAATACAAAATGATGATGACAACTTGTACCATAGAATGTGTTGCATTATTAAAAGGATTATTCAAAAGAAATATTACTAGCGTTACTATTATGCTTACTTAGAAATTGATAGTATTATTAAAAACCAGAAATGTTGTATAACTATGAAAATATCAACAACCCTGCCTACTGATGATATCCTATATAAGCATTACATTAATGATCATAACATTACAATTAGCCTTTGAGGAACACGTAGGAAACCCTGGCATCATATGCCAAGTGAGTTACATGCTTTATCTTATTCTAACAAGAACATGACAGGTAGATCCCATCATCTTCATTCTCCAGAGGGTGAAAGTGAAGTTCACAAAGGCAACTAACTTTCCAAAGAAACCCCATCTCTCAGGAGTTAAAACACAGTATAGACCTGGTATTGAACTCAGATTGTACTGACTCAAGAACCAACTAACTTTACAACTAAAACAAACACTTTACTCTCAGCCTAGCCACCCTTTTGAATAATCAAATAACTTAGTCATGCTCCTCTAAAACTTTTGTGCATGCTGATTTTAGGTTAAGACCAGTAGTGATCCTGTTGTAGAATGAGTTTAGAAATGGGAATTGGGACAACTGTCCAAAAATTCACCTTGGAGGGGTTTCCTGCCTTCCAACACCTGGGAAAGTTCCTCTTCCTGGTGCACCTGTTGGTGTACCTGGTGTCCATTGCAGGCAATGCGGTCATAGTCACCATCACCTGTGTTGACTCCTGGCACCACACACCTATGTACTTGTTCCCCAGCACTTTCTCCTTCTTGGAGTGTGGTGTCATAAGTGCTGTTTTCCTAAGTTGCTGGTCATCCTTTTGTCAGGTAGTCAAGCCATTTCCTTTCCTGCCTGTTTCCTACAAGGCTTTGTCTTTTTATTTCTTGGAGCAACAGGTTTCCTCATCATAGCAGTGATGTCTCTAGATCGGTATGTGGCCATTTGCAAGCCTCTGCATTACCCGACCATCATGAACCTGAAGACTTGCTTCCTCCTGGTCACTGCCTGCTTTGTTTTAGCCTTCCCTCTCATCACTGGTCTGTTAGTAAATGTTTTCCAGTTATCCTTCTGTGGCCCCCACATCATTCCCCCACTTTTTCTGTGCCATTGGCTCCCTGATTCATCTTTCCTGTTCTGACACAGGTCTGTTGGAATGTGGACTTTTGTCCTTGCTTTGTTTATCCTTTTGACATCCCTTATCATAACCATCATTGCATACAGCAACACAGTAATCACGATTCTTTGACTCCTATCAGCCAGGAAGAAACAAGAGAGCTTTCTCCACCTGCTCCTCTTACCTCGTAGTCCTCTCTCTGATGTACAACAGCTGTGTGTTTATGTAAGTGAAACCAAAGCAAGCGAACAGGCTGGACTCCAACAGGGAGGCTGCCCTTGTAAACACAGTGGTGACCCTGTTGCTCAACCCTGTCATCTATAGTCTGCGGAACAAGCAGGTCTACCAGGCTCTGAGGGAGACAGTGTGCAGAATGAAAATATCAAGGTAAAAAATCACATGACCCTGTAGTGGAAGGCTTCAGAGAACCCTTTGTCCTCATTCTGGCCAGTGTAGCAGTCCACAGAGTTGTTGTGCAGGGTCTCTGGCAGACCTCACTGAACTCTGCACATTCCTGCCAAAATTGAAATCTGTTTTTTCAAGGCTACATTTTACCTTGATGTGCATAGGTATCATCTCCCCAAATATTCTACATATTGATGACAACTGATTAATTGAAAAATCCTTTAGCGAATATAAATTTTTCCCTCTGATATAAACCATATGCTAGAAATTTCCAAAATTTAGTAACTTATATAATTTTTTCACTTCTCTCTACCTATGAACATGGCTAACAGAATTAATAAATATTTCCCAAAAGGCATTTAGATATCTAAAGGATAGAAAGTTGTATATTAGGTTCTGGAATGTATGAAGTAATGGAAATAGTACCAGTGCTTGTGTTCACATTCCCTCCATGCCTACACCAAGAAATTAATGGTCATAGTACTCTTCACCTTCAAATATATATGATTTTGATGGGGTGTGCTCATAAACGCTGATCTTGGCCCTAGCTTGGCTACATATGTATGCATCTATCCCTTGCTGGAGAATAATAGAATTATTCTTAGCCTTAGAGCATTCTCTAAGGAGGAGGAATAACCACAGCAGCCCATGTCTGAGCAATGCTCCTATTTCTTAATTTTTTTTCTAGCTCCAGTCCCTCAGATACATAATGCATACTTACGATTGGTTCCTATCCTAAAGCTATTACCACAGATGCTTGTGTATATCAGTGGAAGGGAGCACTTATGTATATTTCTATAATTTCTTACAGAATTTTGAGTTGGAAGAATCTAAGTTATTTGCTTATCTTCTTCACTTTACTAATGAAAATAAAACATCTTTCCTGGTTGACTTGTGTTGTTAGGGTTATTTTCTGTTTGATAACATATTTGAAAACCAACATTTCCATAATCTCAATCCTTAAACTTTGTATACTTTTTGCACCTATTTTTTAGCTAGAATGTGTCTTTTTTTGTTTTTTGTTTTTTGTTTTCCCCTCCGAAAGAACTTCTCTAAAAGGATTGACAACATAAGAAACAATAGGCACTGGCAAGGATGTGGAAAAAGGGAAACACTCTTATGCTGTTGGTGGGAATGCAAACTGGTGCAACCACTGCTGAACAGTTTATGGGTTCCTAAAAAGTTAAAAATAGTAACTACTCCTACATATAGCTGTCCAGTTTTCCTAGCACCATTTATTGAAGAGACTGTCTTTTTTCCACTGTATATTTTTTCCTGTTTTGTCGAAGATTATTTGACCATAGAGTTGAGGGTCCATATCTGGGCTCTTTACTCTGTTCCACTGGTCTATGTGTCTGTTATTATGCCAGTACCATGCTGTCTTGGTGATCACAGCTTTGTAGTAAATGAAATCAGGTAACGTGATGCCCCCAGTTTTATTTTTGTTTTTCAACATTTCCTTAGCGATTTGGGGTCTCTTCTGATTCCATACAAATTTGATTCCATACAATTCTTCTGATTCCATACAAATTTTTGGATTATTTGCTCCAGCTCTTTGAAAAATACCGGTGGAATTTTGATCGGAATGGCATTAAAAGTATGGATTGCTCTAGGCAGTATAGACAATTTAACAATGTTTATTCTTCTGATCCAAGAGCATGGAATGGTCTTCCATCTTTTTGTGTCTTCTTCAATTACTTTCATAAATGTTCTGTAGTTCCTCGAGTACAGTTCCTTTATCTCTTTGGTTAGGTTTATTCCCAGGTATCTTATGGTTCTTGGTGCTATAGTAAATGGAATCAATTCTCTAATTTCCTTTTCTGTATTTTCATTGTTAATGTATAAGAAAGCCACTGATTTCTGTACATTGACTTTGTATCCTGCCACGTTGCTGAATTGCTGTATGAGTTCTAGTGGTTTGGAGGTGGAGTCTTTTGGGTTTTCCAGATAAAGAATCATGTCATCTGTGAAGAGAGAGAGTTTGACTTCTTCATTGCCAATTTGAATACCTTTTATTTCTCTTTGTTGTCTGATGGCTGTTGCTAGGACTTCTAATACTATGTTGAACAAGAGTGGTGAGAGTGGGCATCCTTGTCGTGTTCCTGATCTCAACGGGAAGGCTGCAAGCTTTTTCCCATTGAGGATGATATTTGCTGTGGGTCTTTCATAGATAGATTTTATGAAGTTCAGGAATGTTCCCTCTACCCCTATACTTTGAAGCGTTTTAATCAGGAACAGATGCTGGATTTTGTCAAATGCTTTTTCTGCATCAATTGAGAGGACCATGTGGTTCTTCTCTCTTCTCATATTAATTTTGTTCTATCACATTGATTGATTTGCGAATGTTGAACCATCCTTGTAGCCCAGGAATGAATCCCACCTGGTCATGGTGGATAATCTTTTTAATGTACTGTTGGATCCTGTTTGCTAGGATCTTGTTGAGAATCTTAGCATCCATATTCATCAGTGATATTGGTCTGAAATTCTCCTTTTTGGTAGGGTCTTTGCCTGGTTTGGGGATGAGGGTAATGCTGGCTTCATAGAAAGGGTCTGGAAGTTTTCCTTCTGCTTCAATTTTTTTGAAACAGCTTCAGGAGAATAGGTGTTATTTCTTCTTTGAAAGTTTGGTAGAATTCCCCAGGGAATCCATCAGGTCCTGGGCTCTTGCTTTTTGGGAGGTTTTTGATCACTGCTTCAATCTCATTACTAGATATCGGTCTATTCACTGTACACAAAGATAAACTCAAAATGGATAAAAGACATCAACGTGAGACAGAAATCCATCAGAATCCTAGAGGAGAACATAGGCAGTAACCTTTTCGATATCAGCCACAGCAACTTCTTTCAAGATATGTCTCCAAAGGCAAAGGAAACAAAAGCGAAAATGAACTTTTGGGACTTCATCAAAATCAAAAGTTTCTGCACAGCAAAGGAAACAGTCAACAAAACAAAGAGGTAACCCACGGAATGGGAGAAGATATTTGCAAATGACAGTACAGACAAAAGGTTGATATCCAGGATTTATAAGGAACTCCTCAAACTCAACACACACAAAACAGACAATCATATAAAAAAATGGGCAGAAGATATGAACAGACACTTCTCCAATGAAGACATACAAATGGCTATCAGACACATGAAAAAATGTTCATCATCACTAGCCATCAGGGAGATTCAAATTAAAACCACATTGAGATACCACCTTACACCAGTTAGAATGGCCAAAATTAACAAGACAGGAAACAACATGTGTTGGAGAAAGGGGAACCCTCTTACACTGTTGGTGGGAATGCAAGTTGGTGCAGCCACTTTGGCGAACACTGTGGAGATTCCTCAAGAAATTAAAAATAGAACTTCCCTATGATCCTGCAATGGCACTACTGGGTATTTACCCCAAAGATACAGATGTAGTGAAAAGAAGGGCCATCTGTACCCCAATGTTTATAGCAGCAATGGCCACGGTCTCCAAACTGTGGAAAGAACAAGATGCCCTTCAACGGACGAATGGATAAGGAAGATGTGGTCCATATACACGATGGAGTATTATGCCTCCATCAGAAAGGATGAATCCCCAACTTTTGTAGCAACATGGACGGGACTGGAAGAGATTATGCTGAGTGAAGTAAGTCAAGCAGAGAGAGTCAATTATCATATGGTTTCACTTATTTGTGGAGCATAGCAAATAGCATGGAGGACAAGGCGAGTTAGAGAGGAGAAGGGAGTTGAGAGAAATTGGAAGGGGAGGTGAACCATGAGAGACTATGGACTCTGAAAAACAATCTGAGGGTTTTGAAGGGGGGGTGGGAGGTTGGGGGAACCAGGTGGTGGGTATTGGAGAGGGCACGGATTGCATGGAGCACTGGGTGTGGTGCAAAAACAATGAATACTGTTACACTGAAAATAAATTTAAAAAATTTAAAAAAATCTATGATAACATTATTTCATTTCTTTCCAGATGGCCTTTGTGTCACTGCCATCCTTTACTTCTGATTATATTATAAACCCCACAATACTGTTATGATTTTTCTTTAGGTAATTTATTATCTTTTAAATAGTTTTAATGATAAATAAAATATTGCATCTTTTCTAGAATTATCATTTCTGGTGTTCTTCATTCCTTTGAGTAAACCTAGATTTCCATCTGGTGTAATTTTCCTTGTCACTGAAGATTTCGTTTAACTTTTCTTATATAGGTTTGCCGGTGATGAATTCCTTTTATATTTCTGAAATATTTTTCACCTTTTCTTTTGAAAGATTTTTTTTTCCTGGATGTAAGATTCTACACTGACATTTCCTCCCCTCTTTTCTGTTCTTTAAATATGTTTCTTAACAGTCTTCTTTCTTGCATTGATTCTATAGAAGGTCTTCTGTATTTCTTGTCTTTTCTCTCTGCACTTAATGTGTCTTTTTTACTCTGTTTTTAGAGATTTTCTGCCATTGGTTTTAAGCATGTGTCTTGGTGTGATTTTCTCAGTTTTTATTGTGCTTGGAGTGTATTGAATTTATTACATCTGTGAGTTTATATTTTTTT